CCCCCCCCCCCCCCCCCCCCCCCCCACTCTCTCTCTATGTCTGTTTCCATTCTATGCTTTTAGACTAAAGGGTTCAATGAGCCCGAATGTGAAAATTGTACACTGTGTTATAGCTTCGACAAAAATGAGTAGACTATGTATTTGTCTTTTTGGAGACAATTTAAATAAATAAGTTTAATCTTTCGAATTTTTAGAGCAGATGAGATGGTTAAACAAAATATAATGAGTACCCCACTATCCCAGTTTCTTGCACAAAAATAAGATGGAAGAGTTTTATTAGAAAGAATTTACTATACAAGTGCACTTAGTCACTTACCGCTATAAAATTTATGTTTGTCGCATTCGCACTGAAGTTTTCTTTATATTTTTCAGTTTGAAGAGATTGTTTACAAGGTAAATTATGAAAGAAAAAATGATTTTTGTGGAGGAAAATTGAGCAATACTAGAGAGAAAACAATCCTCAATGGGGTGACAGGGATGGTCTGTCCAGGCGAGATTCTGGCGATGTTAGGTCCATCAGGCAGTGGAAAAACCACCCTACTTACGGCTCTTGGAGGTCGACTTTCTGGCCAGTTATCGGGGAAGATTACATACAACTTCCAGCCATTTTCAGGCTCCATCAAACGTAAAACAGGATTTGTTGCACAGGATGATGTTCTCTATCCACATCTCACTGTATTTGAAACTCTACTATTTACTGCGCTATTAAGGCTGCCCAAAAGCCTAGCCAGAGAAGAGAAATTACAGCACGTGGAGCATGTAATATCAGAGCTTGGATTGAGTAAATGCCGCGATAGCATGATTGGAGGGCCATTGTTAAGAGGGATATCAGGTGGGGAGAAAAAAAGGGTGAGTATAGGTCAAGAAATGCTGATAAATCCAAGTCTATTGTTGCTGGATGAGCCTACTTCTGGGCTTGATTCGACCACCGCGAAACGGATTATTAACACAATCAAGCGGCTGGCTAGTGGTGGCCGAACGGTGGTTACCACCATCCATCAACCTTCTGGGCGGCTCTACAGTATGTTTGATAAGGTAGTCTTGCTTTCGGAAGGCTGCCCCATATACTATGGCCCTGCATCAACTGCCTCGGACTATTTCTCTTCAATTGGGTTTTCAACATCCATCTCTGTGAATCCTGCTGAACTTTTGCTCGATCTCGCCAATGGTACGTGGACATCTAGAAATGTATTTTTCTTTTATTTTTATGTTTTAATATTTTTCTTTGAAGCATCCCTTCAGATGTGACAAGTGAAATATTTTCATAAAAGTTAGATGTGACAAGTGCAAAATTTTCATAAAACGGTAGCTTGAGACGAACTGAAGAACTCTCTCCTAATTACCTTTTTTAAGTTAATCAGTTGACAAAATTCAAATATAAATTAGGAAAAACCATAGAAATAGGCTTCGAATTTAGTAAATTCATCACCTCATGCCTCAGTATTCCTTCAGTCAAATGTTCTTGGGACATCTATCAATCTCTCACTCAATGCTCCATCATTATATGTTGTTTGGCAGTTCTGCTGTTTTCAACTTGAAATTCTAACTATCCTATCTTTGTTTGACTCATTTCAGGAATCAGACCTGATTCGGAACATGGTGACAGTACACAACAAGATCCGAAATCCGTGAGAGAATTTCTCATCTCTGCTTACGACAAGAACATTTCTACAAGGTTGAAAATTGAATTGTTAAGTTCGGATGTAAATAGCTACACTTACACAAAGGATACCTCCACTAGTAAGTACCTTCTTCCCTCTTATACTCAAGCAACTTTTCCATATTACTTCCCAATTTTTCTTACTTCTCTTGTGCTAATTAGGCTTTCGATTCTATTGATGCAGGAAATGATGTGAAGTTAGAGCAGTGGTGTACAACTTGGTGGCACCAATTCAAAGTGTTGATTCTTCGGGGACTGCGAGAGCGAAGATTTGAAGCCTTCAACAAGCTAAGAACCTTTCAAGTCATTAGTGTGGCGATACTTGGTGGGCTTCTTTGGTGGCACACTCCGTCATCTCACATTGATGATCGTGTAAGTATTTCCTATGATCAGATTGAACCACTATCAGTTAAAAAGTTTAATCCTTTTCTCATAAAAAATGTGTACTACATCAATACATGGGTGGCTGCGGGACTTGATCATAGGAGTTTGGAATGATTTGATACCATATTAAACTGCTTCCGTCTAAAGTTCTCTATTTTCATAGCAAACAAATTACCAATATATAGAGTGTGTTGAAACTGCATTTAGATTCACTAATTCTGAAAATAATCTACAAAAACAAGGTTCAAATTTTGTATGGGAAGCCAAAAATTCGATTGATAATGGGTAGCAATAGATTTATTCTATTACAAAATCTGTTGAAGTTACTCTCCTCGCTATTGGTCAACGATTGTCCTTGGAAAATTTTGCAATGGATTTAGGACCGCCTTCCAAATTTTGTGATGGATTTAGGATCCTATTCCATAGTTACAATTCTACCATATGTCTTTTTTATCCCATCGAAAATCAATTTTACAATATAGACGCATATGACCTCCTCCTCCAGGCCTTGCTGTAATGATTCATACCTTTACCACAATAATGCAACAAACAGAATCAGTCAAAAAAAGAAAGTGGAAATTATTTTTAATTTGTTGTGTTTTAAAAAAAACAATTCAACTACAGAGAGGTGGACCGCTACTGGTGGACATCGATCAGAAAATTTGTTGTTGATCTCTTTTTCTAGGAAGAAGAAAAGTATTATACATCCTAATGTTGCAAAGAAGTCTATATTCCTCCAAAACTACAAGCTGCTAAATGCAATTCTTATACATATATATGCTAACTGCTCAAGATAAATTTTAAATGATATATGTTGCCTCATCTAACAGTTCAAACGCTCTACACTAACCTAGTTACTTCTTTTATCTGCAGCTAGCAATGCTGTTCTTCTACTCAGTATTCTGGGGCTTCTACCCGCTCTACAATGCCGTATTCACTTTCCCTCAGGAAAGAAGAATACTGATCAAGGAACGTTCATCTGGCATGTACCGTCTCTCCTCCTATTTCCTTGCAAGAACAATCGGAGATCTCCCTCTTGAACTCGCACTCCCGACAGCATTTACGTTCATCTTCTATTGGATGGGCGGCCTAAAACCTGAACCCCTCGTGTTCATCCTCTCCCTCCTCATCGTGCTCCTTAGTGTCCTCGTAGCCCAGGGCCTCGGCCTGGCATTCGGGGCAATACTTATGGATGTAAAACAAGCTGCAACTTTAGCCTCAGTTACGACGTTGGTTTTCCTCGTCGCCGGAGGATACTATGTTCGCCAAATTCCAGCATTCATCGTCTGGTTAAAGTACCTGAGTTATAGTTATTACTGCTACAAGCTTCTTCTTGGGGTTCAGTACACCGAGGAGGACTTTTATGAGTGTGGAAAGGGAGTTTATTGCCGGGTTGCTGATTTTCCTGCTGTTAAATCAGTTGGTTTAAGGCATTTGTGGAGGGATTTGTTAGTTATGGGAATAATGTTGGTGGGATATCGTTTTCTTGCATATTTAGCTTTGCGCCGGGTAAGGTAAAGCTTGGGTCGATAATTAGTCACTCGATCATTTTTCAACGCTGTTGTCGCACATGGTTAGTGGGAGATAACGTAGTTGGTCGAATAAAGTTCGAAGAGTTTTACGTTTTTTTTTAGCGATTGAGAAATAATGTTAGATTAAGAAAATTTGATAACCATTTCCAGGTTTTGATCATCATTCTCTATGAACGTTGGATAATTACTGCTTTGTGGTAGTAGTTCATATAAATTGTATAACAAAAATGGACTTAAATGTTTGGAAAATCCTCTATTTATGCGGGTATACACGTACCTGTTTAAGAAGCAAAGAAAGTCTATTAAGAATGGATATGTTCTCGAATATGGAGTTATACAATCCACTTAAATAAAATGTACGTTTATGCCGATTTACTTACTTCTTGTTCCTATGATACCATGGTACTTGGTGCTAATTTTGAAATAATAAATATACTTAAATGTATTTAGCTCTCGTTTATTTATTTGAACCCATAGAATTCATATTGTATTCTTAAGATAATTTTACCCTCTGCTGCTTCAGTTTTTGAGTAATTGATAGATGGAATAGATTTTTACATAAATGGAAGCAATACGTCAATTCAGGGGCGAATACAGCATTATCGTTCAGTTAGAGCGGAGGTTGACTTTCACCGTTGACCATCGACAATCAACGATCGTAAAAGTCCGGTCCGATCAGCAGCCGATCGTTTATTAAAATTTGATTAAATAATATTAAAAATTATTCAATATATATATATATATATATTGTGGTTAAGGCTTTGAATTCCATGCTAGTGACCTAGGTTAGCCATCTACCAATTTATTTGAAAATTTTGTACTGTGCATATAAAAAGAAAATTTTTTTGTATTGAATTGTAAATTATATACATATGAAAATATAGAAGTCAAGATATGATCAACCATCGAAACTCATCCGAAAGAAATGAATCAAATGATAGACAACAAAGAAAAAAGTCAAGCAAGTAGAATTAGTTCCAGCATTGGCCACCCCATTTTGATAAAAATCCTCAAAGACATTAAATAGATAGACTCTTATAATAAATAACATGTAGTCATTCCACTGCCAAATTCAAGAAGTTCAAGCTCATACTGTCATACAAAAAGATTTTCCATCTTATTCACTTTGGCATTACAAAAACTTTCAATAATTAAGTCATTCCACTGCCAAAAGTCATTTGAGTTGAATCAGTTGATAATAATTAATAATCACTGGGTCACTTATTCACTTTTGGCATTACAAAACTTTCAAAAAAGGATGCTAAGCCGAGATTGATCCGTTGGATATTGTTGTTGCAAGAGTTCGATATTGAGATCAAGGATAAGAAGGGCAGTGAAAATGTGGTAGCCGACCACCTATCAAGATTGGAACGGGATGAACCTGAGATGTCAATGGACATCAATGAAATCTTTCCAGATGAGCAAATTTTTGGAGTAGAAATAGTCCCATGGTACGCTGATATCGTTAACTACCTTGCTAAGTCCATCCCGCCACCAGACTATTCTAGCTATCAAAGAAAGAAGTTTTTCGTAGAGCTGAAGTATTACTTTTGGGAGGATCCCATTCTCTACAGAAGAGAGGCAGATCAGATAATCAGAAGATGTATTCCTGAAGATGAAGTACCTGAGATTCTAGAACATTGTCACTCTTCTGCATATGCTGGGCATTTTGGAGCTTCAAAGACTGCTGCAAAGATACTACAGTCGGGTTTCTATTGGCCTACTTTATTCAGAGACACATTCGAGTATGTGAAGAGATGCGATAAATGTCAACGAACCGGAAATATCTCAAGAAGAAATGAGATGCCACTAAATTACATTTTGGAGGTTGAAATATTTGATGTATGGGGAATAGACTTCATGGGACCTTTTCCCCCCGTCATACTCAAATCAATATATCTTGGTAGCCATTGACTATGTCTCTAAGTGGGTGGAAGCTGTTGCATTGCCTACTAACGATGCGAAAGTGGTGATTGAGTTCTTGAGGAAGTACATATTTACAAGATATGGTATACCAAGGGCAATAATAAGTGATGGAGGCAAACACTTCATAAATCATCAATTAGAGCAGTTGTTGAACAAATATGGGGTGAAACATAAAGTAGCAACTCCATATCATCCACAAACCAATGGGCAAGTTGAAGTTTCGAACAGGCAGTTAAAGAGAATACTGGAAGTTACAGTGAACTCATCCTGAAAAGATTGGTCTAAGAAGCTTGACGGTGCACTGTGGGCTTACAGAACAGCATTTAAGACACCAATAGGAATGTCTCCATACCGCCTGGTTTTTGGGAAAGCGTGTCATCTACCATTGGAGTTGGAGCATCGAGCATATTGGGCTATGAAATAGTTGAATATGGATCTCAAGGCTGCTGGTGAAAAACGACTGCTGCAACGTAATGAATTGGATGAGATGAGAATGGAAGCTTATGAGAACTCAAAGTTGATCAAGGAGCGCACCAAAAGATGGCATGATTTAAACATTCAGAGGCGAGAGTTTGAAGTTGGCCAGAAAGTATTATTGTACAATTCTAGACTCAAACTCTTCCCAGGAAAGCTAAGAACAAGGTGGTCGGGTCCCTATACCATAACTAAGGTGATACAATACGGGGCTATTAAAGTGAGTCACGAAACCAAAGGTACTTTCATCGTCAATGGGCAAAGATTGAAACACTATTGGGGCTGTAATTTCCCTAAGTAGAAGTCCACTGTGCAACTCAACAGCCCAACATGAAAAAGATGCAGGAGAGTCGAGCTATCGACTATAAACTAGTGCTGGGTGGAAGGCAACCCACTATATCCTTCAATTTATGTTATTGCATTTGTTTTGGAATTTTTTTTTACATTTCGTATGTTTTATTAGGTCATCGATCATTCACGTATGATAGTCTAGGCACTACACGTTTATAGTTGCATGAGTCGGGATTAATGAAAATGTTTTGGGTGTTTGAGTGTGAAGTAAAGAATTTCGGGGTTCAAAGTCGTTCGTTTTATTTTTCGAGATTTAAAAAAAAAATTGAATATGTAGAGTTGAGTCAATTTTGGGGTTAAAATTATAAGTTTTAAAAAAAAAATCTGGTTGGTCCATACGGCCGCATGGACAAAGGTCGCATGGACCCTCACCGAAACTCAAGGGGGGGCCCCCCCAAATCCACCTTCACTCACAACATCAATCACCAACGCTCTTGCACATTTTCACCCTACCCCACATTATTCCCAGCATTGGCATACATTATCAAGAAATTTTGAAGCATTCTCTCCAAGTTCATTTCCTAAAATTCTAAAGGTAAGAAATTTACTTTCTATGCAAAGTATGAAGCTATTCTTTGATGTTATTGCCATTTTCGAATTGGGTAAAATGTTGAATTGTGATTGAATTGTGAATTGTGGACTAGCCCTAAGTGTAAATAAAAAACAAAGTGAAGGAAATTTCCAATGCACACAACGTGTTCGATTAAATGTCAATGAAACATATGATTCGAAATTTTGAACTTTTCATTTGTGTGATGATTTACATTGTTAATGTGAGGCATACTAGTCGAGAAATCTCTTGGAATTTCATTGGAAAAC